GATTGAGAAGTCACAGCTGCGATGGCTTGGGCATGTGTTGCGAATGTCTCCAGAAAGGAAGGCTAAGCAAATGTTCCTTGCAAATCCGACCGGCAAAAGGTCCAGGGGACCGCCAAGATCAACCTGGTGCAAATATATGGAAGGAGTTTCTTCCAGATTCCATTTGTCTTTTGCCGAAGCTCAGACTCTGGCACAGGATGGGGAACGTTGGAAGCACTGTCTGATGCGTCTGCCTCCGCGACCCGAAAGGAGAAGCGGCGATGGAAGATGAAGATGAAGAAGATGAATTACTGTCTTGATTAATTATGACAGTACCTATGAAGCTGAAATGATGTAAGATGTCGCGATACACTGTAGGTGGCAAAGCGCTATCGAGCAACAGCCTGTTTAAATGGTGTCGTTCAAAATGGTTTAAAAGTTTGTGGAAACAGTTTATATGCGTCATTCTGTCGCGTAATCCAATATATATTTTATGTGCAAAATAATGGATCGTTTTGGATGTCATTAAAGGATAGGCCACTCATGAAAGTTTTCGTGGTCAAAATATTGGTAAAGAAAATCTTGTTTTACATCCATTTGTGACATTTCAGATTAGTTAATTTTTTAAGGTAATTATACTCAATAACGACTATCAACTCGGTCGAAAAAGCATAGCTCAATTGGACAACGGATACCGACTCACTGTTCAATAAGAAGATGCCCATCAAACAGAAGGGAAATGTGTAATGAATGATTGCAAGACTTTTGCTTCTCTATGAACCGGAACTTCCGGCCAGCCTGAAGAGACAAGAGCAGCAGATCAATTCCTTGGAAATACGAATGCTCAGATGGGTGATCGGTGTCAGCAAGAGAAAGCAAATCGTAATACCTTCATAAGAAGCACCAATTTTAGAAAAGATGATCGAAAATATGCTCCTATGAAAAAATGTACAGTCATTCGTTTCTTTTCGGGTTCCGGACGTGCGAAAAAAAGAAACCTGATCTGATGAGTACGTTGAAAATGTGATTCAAGCACTAATATGTCAGAGAAGAGAAGAAGGGGAGATCAAAAGACAAGGGAACCCTATGTCGTAACGAACGATATAAAACAGCAGTGAGTAAATGAAAATTTGAATAATGACCTGAAAATGTGGAAGCAGCGAACTTTTGTTAAGGGGTACGCGATACGAAGAGGAAGATATATGTATATATGTGATATTTTTATCCACACAAAATATTTGTATAATATTCGTGACAGAGGTGCATGATTACTTAGTTGTAATGATTACACAGTATGATGTATAATAGGATACATAAACTCCTATAATGCCCCATTTTTCAAAGAAACACTTTCAACACATAACCTTTATTAATATAAGAACCAAGTTTCTTGTGAACAAGAGAAATAATACCATTAAATTTAAATTAGGCCTTTCAGATTCAGCCTCTACTGTGTCCCACATGCGCCGATAATGTTTTCTCGTCATGCGCACTCTTGTAGGAATGTACGAAGAGCAGGTAATTGTGGAAGTCAATTAGGGAGTCATTCCACATCTGCATATCTGTACATATTCCCTCTTTGATACGGGCAGAGACATTGGCATGTCGGTGACTTTCGAGACGTTGAATGAACATTGCTGTAATAAAGTTTTCTCGCCTATGGTTTCCCATGCTAAGCTTGCTGAAAAGTAAAGAAAGGGGTCAACTAAGGGCATTCAACTCATAATTTATGCAGTTAATGGTCTGAAAGGACGCATATTCCCAGTTTATGAACGCGCTTTTGAGTACCGGCTCCTGACACATCATGCGGATGTGTGATGTGTCAGGATGAGCAAGCGACTGCTCTAGCGAATAAATGGCACAAGATGTATCATTGCCGTTGCTTCTGTACCATGATGACGTGTTTAGCGTTGCAAGTTATAACAATGAATAGTCAACAATCACGTGGACTAAGGCGATGTGCAGCCTCAAGAGGGACTCATATGATACGGTAAGGCCGTACAATTCGTCTCTTCTGGTATAAGCACGTCAACATTTAACGATGGCTCCGTTATTCTCAAGACAACCAGTTGTTGAGCGAAGCAACGTCGGGTTCATCTCCTTCTCAGAGGAATTCATCGTGAAGACAAGATTTCTCTTCTCCGGATTTCAACCCTCTACCTTCGGAGTTTGAGACCAGATTCTTTTCCGCTGTACCATTGCGTCTTAAGCTTGTTTTGCTTAAACGGTGATTTCGGCAACCTCAAGCAAACGGCCGTTGTGATAACGTTTTATGACTAACTATGGGATCGTGTGTGAATGTTTATCGATCAAT